ATAGGAGAAATCAAGAAAGAAGAAATCTTAAAAAAAGACCCTTCATAGCCAAGGAATTTAATTAAGGCTAAGCGGTAACTCATGTCTCAACAAAACCTTTTTCCTTGCTATAATCTTCTTCTTTGGCTCCCTATCCTATGCTTGTGCCCTGATGAAATCTTCTATGATAATTGCGATATGATCTTGATAATTGATGAGATGATTTTATGTGAGATCTTGATGATCTTGATGATGATAAAAGGATCTTGATAATTGTGTGATGTTCTTGATAGATATTGATGTTCTTGATTTTTAAAGATAAAGCATGATTTGTGATTTAAATATAATTAGAGCCCTAGGTTGAATCATGAATTTCGTATTGGGATTTTCTTGGCATATTTGGGTGCGAATTCGCATGTTCGGGTGTTGTTTATGTTTAGAAGTCATGATAGGATATGTTCTACGTGATTCTTGCTTTTGATCCATTAATTGTCTACATGGTGTCGTTATTTGCGTTTAAAAGTTTCTAAGCATGGTTTCGGGTTCCACGGAGGATCCCGGGACGTTTATTTTAAATAAAGAGTTAGTGGGGGGTAGGTGGGGGTAGGGGGACCCGCCACCTACCCGCTGCCTAAAGAAGACACCGCCGGCAGCGGGCAGGCGACTGCCCGGAGGAGTATCGCCGGCAGGTGGCCCTCCACCCACCGGCTACCCGCTGGTCGTTGCCCACCTCGGGACTTTGGCTTCTCCGTTTGATGTTCCCCAACCCCCGTGGTGTCCCAACGGACTCCGTTTGTCGTGCATGAGTCTAGTTTGATGTTTCGGGTACCATTCGTAGGATAAAAGAGTCTTATGTATTGCATGCTAGTTGAATCGGTAACCCGTTGGCCTAGGAGGAAGATGCATGAACCCCTTAGGACTATTCTTAGTATGTGGATGATCACGCATAAGTTTATTTATACGCTTTACCCCTTCCCAATGTGCTAATATGTGCTACTATGTGTTATGTGAGCATGATACCCCAATTTGGTTGCGATCAAATTGGTTATTCCTGAGCTGCGGTTCAGAAGTTGGCTGCGGTCAAATTGGTTACTCATGAGCTGCGGTTCATTCTCCTAGCTACGGTTAGTGATTCACTTCTTGGGCTGCGGTCCACATGGGCCTCGTGTGCTATGGTCCACCGACTGGACGCATCAGGCGGTGTGTAGGGCCACTAGCCCGAGGAAGGCCATAGCCCAGCGAATGAGTGATCAGGCCGTGTGTAGGGCTATGGTCGGCTGCGATCCACCGAGTGTATGGGCCAGCGGTGTTTAGGGTCGCAGTCCCCGAAGATCATTGCCCATCGAATGAGTCCCTCAGGCGGTGTGTAGGGCTTTGATCGGCTACGACCCACCGACTGAGCTCGTCAAGCGGTGTGTAGGGTCGCAGTCCCCAAAAGAGGATCACAGTCCACCGACTGAGCGCGTCAACGGTGTGTAGGGCTGTGATCCGCCGTTGAAACTATCGACGGTCTATACGATTGGTTGCGATCAACCCCTTCATGCTGCGGTATGAGGTAGGGTGCTGCGAGGCCGTGTTAGAGCTATATGCGCTAACCCTCATGTTCGGGGCATGCGATTGGTCCCGTGGCGCCACCAAAGTGTGCTTGTGTGACATGAATATGGATTGAATGATGATGTGAATGATTTGAAAGTGAACTGTGACCTTAGATACATGTTCTTTATGATATTATCTCTATATAATTGATTATCCTTGTTTAATGTGCTTATCCCTACCTGTTGAGTCTATTCCTGGTTTTAAAAGCTAGAGTCTCCTAAGTATATATCTTCCTGCTTCAAAATGGTTTTCGTATATCTATATATATATATATATTTACCTATATTGTATTTCAACGCGTTGGAGTGGGTTACCAGCATCATTCGCTAAACAGATATATTTGGCTTTCAGGCACAGATGAGTAGACCCCAGAGCGCGCTAGAGATCCGAAGCGTAGATTAGTTAGTTTTCCTTTCAGCCTGCGTGCCATGATGATGTATTGACATTTCTTTGAGGATATTTAGTTAGTTTAGCCTGTGCATCTGAGTTCTCCAGTTCAGATGTGGCATAGCACCCCGCACTCTTATGTTTAGTAATACTCTGTTTTGGGATTTAATGAGAATTTACCTTTATTATATAAGTTTTAAAAGTTTCAAAATTTTGGAGTGTTACAATATGTCTCTATGTGGATGACATGTTAATTTTTACCTCAAGTATTGAGGCTATAAATGAAACAAAACGAACTCTATGTCAACAGTTTGAAATGAAGGATCTAGGAGAAGCCGATGTGATACTCGGGCTAAAAGTCACAAAAACCAATACAGGTTACCTTCTATCCCAAGGTCACAACGCAGAAAAACTTCTGAAGAAGTTTGACAGTTATGATGTTGTTCCGGCTAAGACTCCTTACGATCCTAGTGTCAAACTACTGAAGAACATGGAGTCAAGTATGTTTCAAGAAAAATATGCAAAAGTAATTAGGAGTCTAATGTTCTTGATGAACTATACACGTCCCGACATTGCATTTGCCGTGAATAAACTTAGTCGTTTCACTCATAACCCTAGTGGCCCACACTGGGACGCACTAAAAAGGATACTCCGGTATCTTAGAGGCACGTTAGACTGGGGTCTCAACTTCAAAGGATACCCAACTGTGCTAGAAGGGTTCTGTGATGCGAACTGGGTAAACGACAGTGATGATGTCAGCTCTACAAGTGGATATGTGTTCACACTATGTGGGGCTGCAGTGTCTTGGAAATCAACCAAACAGTCGTGCATAGCCAGATCAACTATGGAAGCAGAGTTCATAGCTTTAGATCTGGCTAGCCAAGAGGCCGAATGGCTAAGAAATTTATTGGCAGACGTGCCATTGTAGGGGGGGGGGGGGGGTCCTGCTCCCGCCGTGCCCATTCATTGTGATTCTCAAACTACCATTTGTGTGGCACAAAATAGTGTCTACAATGGTAAGAGAAGACACATAAGAGTCAGACGTGAGTCTGTACGGCAGTTAATATTGAATGGGGTAATCACAATGGAATTTGTGAGATCTGAAAGGAATATAGCTGATCCTTTCACGGAAGGCCTAAATCGAAAGGTTATCCTTGATACATCAAGGGAGATGGGCTTAAAAGCCAATGAGGTGTGAAATTCATGATGGACACCACCTCGGTGGTCAAACGAAATCATGGAAAGACTTGCATTTATAAGTAGACTGTAAATCAGTCCACTCGCCGTAGTCCACGGTTAGTAGTCTACGGTGAAGTACATTCGGTGGAGTGGAATGTCTGTGCTGAGACAGACAAAACAGGGCTAATACTTGGTTATCCAATAACTATACGAAGTGTACAACAAATGGAGCTAACGAGGTGCACATAAGTTCAAAATTCAACTAGCCGAAGAGTTCAAGATTCTGTTCACTCTCGGATAGTGGATTACTTAGTGCCACCACTTGTCAGTTCAAGTTTAACACACTGACATGAAAGCTAGCTCTTGTTTGTTACGCTCAGTTGCTCTCCGTCAAGCCTTACACCTTTGAATGTGTTTGGGATTGTTGGGAAACATTCAAAGCTAAGATGCAAGCTAAGATGTGTGTGGGTGTGCTGTCAGCGTGGCATCACCTCTTACTGCCTATTCTTGTGCTGCCTGGCCACACATAGCCTACAGTTACGGTAAGGCTGTAAGAAGGGATGGTAGCAGTATAAAAGCAATCCTCATACAGTGTCACAACACACCGAAAATCACCATTTCTAATTCCCAAATTCTGATATTGAGCTGCGTATTTGTTTCTGTGCTATAAGTCAGAGATATAACGATACCCTGGTCGTTAAATATCTTTAAGATAGTGTTGTCAAACACGACACAAAACGCTTCTGATTTTTTGTACTAAAGCAACGACACATCGCGAACTTCCTTCCAGGTATTTATTTTTGTTGTTACGCACAACATATGTTATTCCACAACTCTTACTCTTATTATATGCTATAACTCTTATTGAATGTCATTAAAGTTACACTTTTTTGCATGATGCATGTTCCGTTGTTACTCAACCCTTGATATTGTATTATAAATATTATATGGAAATTTTGGGGCCGGAGTTTAATAAGTTCTAATTTAAATTTACACTTACATCATCAAAATCTATTTATACACTTATTCTTAACACACAACATGAACATGATTTTTAAATAGGTTGGTACAACAGACATGTTTAGTTAATAGGTTTTAGATCCACAGGGGTAGAATATGGCATGATAACTTGTGTACACTCATTATACATATTAATATGCATGATTTGTTTCAAGTAAAATTTTGAAAAAAAAAAAAAACATATTAAAAAATTTACAATTAAATTCATCAAAATAGTAAAGATATTAGATTCATAATAAAAATCTAAAATCATAAACTAATGATTAATTTAACGGGCTAAGTTGATTGACCCTTTTGAAGACACAAAATTTTATGGGTTCTTAACAAGTCAACTTTTAATGAACCCAGATACAACTCACTCATTATTTTTGTGTTTGGTTTTGTAAGGTATAAAAATTGTAAGTTCTATTAAAATGAAAAGAAATTGTTAGATGAATGACTTTTAAATGTTATTAAGGACAGTAAATGCATCACAAAACTTGTTTCCTTTATGTACCAAAGCGATTTGAAAGGAGTAGCTTGAAACAATTAGGATCACCCATCATTTCCAAGTCATTTGTACCCTAGCTATAATTAAGTTTAAAACGAAGAATTCTCACATTTTGTCGCTTTTCACTTTGTTTTCTCCCAAGAATCTTTTTTTTTTCTTCTTTTTTTCTTCTTTTTTTCTTTGTTGGTAACCAGAATAACTGTCTTTCACAATGTTATAAAAAAAAAACCTGCTTCCCTCCCATTCTTGTTTTCTGACATTTGGAGGAGAGGGTCAAGCACCTCCTTGAGCCCTTCTCCAGCTTCAATTCGCAGGTTCATAATAAGACCACAAAAGAAAACCAGGAAACATGTCGAACAACGTGATTGTTATGGTCGTCTGCTCTGTCCTTCTGCTGGCAATGGTGGTTGCTCTCACTGTGGGTTTCGGGCGTTACGATTATAAGGAGCGCAAGGAGGTAAACTCGTCGGAGAAGGCCATCAAATCCATATGCCAACCCACCACGTACCAGGAGACTTGCATCGAGAGCTTGGAGTCGTCTCCGGCCTCCAATACCACGAACCCCAAGGAGCTAATCCAAGCCTCCCTCGAAATCACCATTCATCGCCTTCGCGACGCCATTAAGAAGTCCAGGCATTTGAAGGAGTTTGTGAAGGACCCGAGATCGAAAGGGGCCATGGATGATTGCCAGGTATGCTAAGCCTATATGCACTAGTTGACATTTTCTAATATATATTTCCTATTTGTATTCCAGTAGTTCCAGCTACTTCTCCTCATCTGTACTCTATTTATACTTGGTTCGTTTTATCTCAACAAGCTCCTGGCGAAACGTGCCGTGAAGGATTTGGTCAGGACGTTCGAACAGTTCAGCGAGTTTGATCTCTCGGATTTGGATAACTGGCTAGCGGATTTGAAGACATGGCTTAGCGGTTCGCTCACGTACCAAGAAACCTGCCTGGATGGGTTCGAAGGCACCCCTGGAGACCACCAGGGGAAGATGAAGCAGCTTCTCAACACTTCCATGCAATTAACTAGCAATGCCTTGGCTATGGTTACCGAAATCTCTTCAGTTCTCTCGAATTTGGGTGTGGAAGGGGTGAGCAGCTCCGGCAAACGGCGTCTCATGGGACACCGCGGGGATGATATGACCACGGGCACCACCACTACCCCGGACTGGGTGGACCCGGGCCGGCATAGGCTGCTAACGGCGAAGAGGGCTGAGATCAAACCCGACTTGGTTGTGGCCAAAGATGGGTCGGGGAAGTACATGAGCATAAATGAGGCGTTGGAGGATATCCCAAGGAACAAGAACAAGACATTTGTGTTGTACATCAAAGAGGGTGTTTATGAGGAGAAAGTCGTATTTTTCCGCAACATGACACATTTGATGATCATGGGTGATGGTCCAACCAAGACCAAAATCACTGGAAGCAAGAATTACATTGATGGGGTTTCCACTTTTCACACTGCAACCGTCGGTATGTAAGTAGTTCTAATTATGCATGCATATACGTATTTGTCATTGTGTTGATTGGGTGCATGTTTATGGTTTAACCTATATATGATTCCAGGCGGTCCCTGTTTGGTAAATGGGCTGTTAGCTCATAGCAATTAGCTGATTGGATTTGAGGGTATGACTAGTTGATAATATTAGCTGATTATGACCCTGTTTGGTAAATGGCTGTTAGCTGTTAGCTATTTGGTTAATTAGAGGGTATAACTAGTTGATAACATTAGCTGATTGTAGAAAGTGTTTGGTAAATGAGCTATAAGCTGATAGTTGTTTGATATAATTTCTTTTCTCAAAAAGCTAATTGAAAATGCTGTTTTGAGTATCTTTTTGAATTTTAGCATTTTGGGGTTGATTTTTTAATCAAGTCAAACAATTAATAGTGGTCAAATAAGCCAAAATTGGCAGATAGGCTAATATTTTACCAAACAGGGCCTATATGTAGAAAGATGTTTGGTAAATTAGTTGTTAGCTAATAGCTGCTCGGTATAATTTCTTTTCTCAAAAAGCTGATTAACGAAACACTTATATTAACTTTTTAAACAAGTCAAACAGCTGATAGTGATCAAATAATCAAAAAATTGACTGATAAGCAAACTATTTTACCAAACAGAGCCTTTATATATTATAAATACAACTGCAAAGGAAATGAGTAAATTGTAAGGATTCTTGGTGAGTCAAAAACCAATAAATATTTAGTTTAGTAAAGCATCAACTAACACATATTACATTACATGAGGAGTTTTACTATATAGACTCCCAAAATTTTACTCCCTCATTTATACTCCCTGAGGTGGCAATCCAGGATTGGTTATTTTCATCATGTGGGTCCACAGAAAAATGTCTACATCAAGACATGTGAGAGAGGGAGTACAAGTTGAAAGTTTAAAATGGGAGTACACCAAGTATTTTCCTTGCATGACTTGTGATGATGTCATATTTAATTTGGCAGTCCATCTACGTGACTCAATTATAGACAACCTCGCCAAGGTCAGGACAAGTAAGGGAAAAGGCCTTAAGAACCATGGACATCGTTACATAAGACAAGTGAGTCGTCTAATCCATTGTCACTCGGGACACCTAACTGTTGATCTCCGGATATGCCTAGACTCAAATTACAATTGTTCTATACTCTCATAGTTAGGACTTACTGTGAGAGGAACCGTCACTAATTAAACAGGTTTGCGATCCATTAGCTCCTTTCGTAATGATTAGATGCATTTTGATCGAGTCCAACATAGATAGACAATAATAGAGATATAGTTGTTCTCCTAAACTATATATATATATATATATATATATATATATATATATAATTAGGTTCTGGTGCGGTTGAAGTGCAGGTGCGGTTAAATCTGAGTCATTGATCTTGCTTAAATCAATGTCCAGAATTATCAAAATTAAAAAAAAAAAAAAAACGTGGTGGCAATTTGGTAATATTTGCATCTAGGTCAAATTTAAGGTGTCTGTGTTTTGTGCTTAATGTGCGTGTGGTTTATGCTTAAGGTGCATGTGTTTTGTGCTCAAGGTGTGTGTGTTGTGTGCTTAATGTGAGTAGTTGTTGAAACTTAAGGTGCGTGGGTTTTGTGCTTAAGGTGCACGAGTTTTGTGTTTAAGGTGCGCGCGTTTTGTGCTTAAGGTGCGTGGGTTTTGTACTTAATGTTAGTTGTTGAAACTTAAGATGCGTGGTTTTCCTTCTTGATGTGCGTTGTTTTCCTTCTTAAGGTGTGTGATTTGTATGCTTAAGGTGCGTCAGTTGTGTGAAACTTAAGGTGAGCATTTGAAAACATTAGGTGTGTGGTTTATGTTCTTAAGGTGCTTTGTTGTGTGTTTAATGTGCGTGGTTTGTGTACTTAAGATGCATGGTTTGTGTTCTTAAGGTGCTTTGTTTGTGCGTTTAAGGTGCGTGATTCGTTTGTGTACTTAAGGTGTGCCATCTTAATGCTTAAGGTGCGTCCTTCGCACAACCGCACGGGAACCCTTCCCCGCACTTGAATCCTTCCCTATATATATAGAAGTTGTACGCGGACAAATCTAAGCTGTCAGTATGTGTATGACTATGATTTTAGGGGTGTTTAGATTTATTTTTTATTTTTTATTTTTTATTTACAGAGGGGTACTATGTTAATTTCGTTATGTGTTTTGAATGCTTATGCTAATGTTATGCTTGATTTTAGGAATTTAATTTATGGTAAATTTAATTCATTTGCAGTTATAATCTTCTTCCTCACAGCTGGTTTTTTGTTGTATGTGTGCACCTTACCATGACCTAGTGTGCACTTTGTGTTCATTTAATGTGTGTGCGCATTGTAAACTTGATGGGTGTGCATTATAGTACATAAGTGTGTGCATTACTTTGTGGTGTGTTTGCATCTAATGATGTGTTTGTACACTAATTAAGTAAATAATCAACATAGTTTTTTATCAATATTTTTCTTTGTTGGTAATGGTGCATGATGTGTATGTGTGCATTTCAATGTGCAATGTAGAAGTGTGCACACGATTCCGACGGCATTCTATGATGCGCACTAACACAATTGCCCAGAGCATAGCAGAGCACAACATCCCTTCTATTGTCTTTTGCTCCACATGTTTATCTCGCTAAATTAAAGCACCGGACAATAACAAAACAATCATATTTTAACTCATATTAATCAGCATTATGTTCCACCACCAACTTGCTGATTTTGTTGCTGCTTTGTCTATTTCGACGGATGATTCAAATTTAGCTTGGATAGATTTGTCTCTTAATTTATATTTCTAGGCGATTTGAATTGATTAGGCGGATGTGTTTAGAGTATTGACTTTTAATCATAAACATTGATCACTAATTATGTATGGCTACAATTTGTCTAACAATTTTTACGTGGGAGAAGATTCTCATGTAAGTATGACTGTGTGCGTGTGTATATATATATATATATATATATATATATATATATATATATATATATATATATATATATATTGTTGTTTTTTTTCTTACCTCACATTGAGTAACAAAGAATCCTTAAAATTACTCTCATTTCCATTGCATTACATTAAAGAGTCATTTTTATAGCAAAGTTTATGACTTTTGTTGGGGTACATGTTAAATAAACACTAATAGTATCCATTGCATGTATATTGCCTACTAACAGGTGGAAATCTTGCATATCCTGATTTTGATTGTTATTAACAATTTCTGTTGATCCAATAACTTAAATAAAATGTAGCTGCGTTGGGAGATTTTTTCATGGCAAGAGACATTGGATTTGAGAACTCAGCAGGGCCGGAGAAACACCAAGCTGTGGCACTGAGAGTCGGGGCCGATAAGTCAATCTTCTACAATTGTCAAATGGATGGGTACCAAGACACTCTTTATACGCACACCTACCGTCAGTTTTACCGCAACTGCATAATCTCCGGCACCATAGACTTCATCTTCGGCAACGGCGCCGTCGTGCTTCAGACCTGCACCTTTGTAGTTCGAAAGCCCATGGAGAATCAACAGTGCATTGTTACGGCTCAAGGCCGCATAGACCCACGCCAACCAACCGGCCTCGTCTTGCAAAATTGTAGCTTCGTGGCTGACCCGGAGTATTACCCTGTCCGGTCCAAGCTCAAATCGTACCTGGGCCGGCCTTGGAAAGAGTACTCTAGGACTATAATCATGGAGTCCTTCATTGACGATTTGATCCAAAAAGAGGGATGGTTGCTGTGGAATGGAGATTTTGCGCTGGATACACTTTTCTATACTGAATATAACAATAGAGGGTCGTCTTCTAGTAAGGAGGAGCGTGTGAAATGGAAGGGAGTGAAGGAGCTTCCCTTGAACAGGATTGAACGGTTCACGGCAGCGCGGTTCATCCAGGGCGATGTATGGATTAAGTCAACTCGGCTTCCTTACAACCCGGGTTTTATTTTCCCGCCACCCAAGCACAACCCTGCTGTTAAATACTCGCCAGTGATGCCTGATGAAATCAAAGATATGGGTGCTAAAGAAAAGGCTGCCTACGATCCTCCTAAAGCAACCCCGCCACCGCCTAGTCAATTTTCAGTTTCTTCAATTTTTGGTGTGAGTGGGGGATCACCTCCTACCCAAGAACCAGCTAATTCTTCCAACCAAACTTCACCACCAACTTCCACTCCGGTTCACCCATCGCCTGAATCCACAAGCGGTTCAAGTTCAGCTCCGGTTCAAGCTCCAGCATCATCACTTGGTTCGGTTCAGGCACCACATCAATTCTCAACTACTGGACCAATTTCAGTTACTCCCATATCAGCTCCTACTCTAGCTTTTGCACCAGCTTCCAGTCCAACGACATCTCCTCAATCATCAATTTCTCCGGTTTCAACTCCGGCTGAAGATACTGCATCAACTTCTAGTCCGTCATCACCCGGTCCGGTTCAGGCATCGCCTCAATCCTCAACTGCTCCAGTTCAAGCTTCTGCATCAACTCCTAGTCCGGTTCAAGCACCTGCTCCAGCCTCAGCTCCAGTTTCAAATTCGGCTTCTACATCAGTTCCCAATCCAGCTAGACTTGGTCTGGTTCCGAATTCTTCTCCCGCTCCAGTTCCTACACCAGCTTCTACCCCAGCTCCAGCTCCGGCTGGGCCATCAACACCTCCAAGCTCAACACTGATATCAGCTCCAACTCCAGCTCCCACTCAAGCTTCTACTTCAGCTTCTAGTCCAGCACCATTAGCCCCCACTCAAGTTCTAGTTGCAGCTCCACCTGGAAACCTGGCTACTCAAGTTCCGGCAGCGGCTCCACCTGGAAACTCGGCTACTCAAGTTCCGGCAGCAGCTCCACCAGGAAACTCGGCTACTCAGGTTCCGGTAGCGGCTACTCCTGGAAAGTCGGCTACTCAAGTTCCGGCAGCGGCTCCACCTGGAAACTCGGCTACTCAGGTTCCGGTAGCGGCTACTCCTGGAAAGTCGGCTACTCAAGTTCCGGCAGCGGCTCCACCTGGAAACTCGGCTACTCAGGTTCCGTCAACGGCTCCACCAGGAAACTCGGCTACTCAGGTTCCGGCAGCAGCTACTCCTAGAAACTCAGTTACTCAAGTTCCGGCAGCGGCTCCACTAGGAAACTCGGCTACTCAGGTTCCGGCAGCGGCTACTCCTGGAAACTCTGCTACTAAGGTTCCGACAGCAGCTCCACCAGGAAACTCGGCTACTCAGGTTCCGGCAGCGGTTACTTCTGGAAACTCGGCTACTCAAGTTCCGGCAGCGACTCCACCTGGAAACTCGACTACAGAAGTTCTAGCAGCGGCTCCACTTGGAAACTCGGCTACTCAGGTTCCGGCAGCGGCTTCACCTAGAAACTCGGCTACTGAAGTTCCAGTAGCGGCTCCATCAGGAAACTTGGATACTCAAGTTAAAGTAGCGGCTTCATCTAAAAACTTAATAACTACTCCTTTGACTCAAACTAAAGCAGGTCTTGGTCCTAGCCCAGAAGCAGGAAATCAATAATCCAAAAGTTCAGGCTGGACTTTTGGAAATTTTTGACAAGTTTAATGGATATATTCAATTTTTTTTTTGATCCCTTAACTCTAGTTGTGTTTATAGTCTTTGCTAGTTTCCACAATCGTGTAGTAGAAGTAAGCATGCATCAATTAACCATTAATTTAAGTTGTCTGTAAAATTGTAGGAGCCAATTCAATCAAGTTCGATTCAATTGCCGTGATTATATTACACATACGATCAATAGCTATGCTATGATTTTAGATGTCATCTCTTCTCATGATTATTATTAATTGGGAAAATTGTAATTTATGCCCTGTAAGCACATAATCCACGTTGAATCAATTAATACGCGGTAATAAAGGATAATCCCATTAACCTCTAGCCATAGTTTGCGTTTTTTATTGCCTGAATCCGTTGTCCGTTGAATAGGAGTTCCTCGGGCTGCTGTGAAATCACCGTAAACCAGAAAAGTGTTTCTCTCACTTCTCTTAGTTACTTTAGATGGTGTATGAGTCGTCAACTGAGCAGTGAGAGGACTTAGGAGTTTAAATACATACATCCAAGGTTGAAAAATTCGCTAGGCGCTCTCTAGGCGCCTGGGGACTGCCTAGGACGCCTAGAGCGATTAATCGGCGCCTAGGCGGGTGCCTAGGGCGCCTAGGTGGCCGACCGCCTAGCGCCTAGAAGCCGATTAATCGGCGCCTAGGCGCGATTTTTGCAACACTGCCTACATCCCATCAATGTAGGCAACCAATTACCTAATGCTGACTAAGTTCTAATACTTATTCAGTCTAATAGTTTACACCAAATAAATTACTTAATATTATTATTATTGTAACACCCCACTTTTCTTAAACTTAATTAACAGACTAAACCTTTAAAGATAATCTAAAGCAGCGGAATAAACTTTACTAAGCAACTTAATAGAGGTGTCACCGCCACAATAACCCTTCACGGTGATTGCACAGGCTAAAGATAAATCAAACTAAACATTAAAGTCTACTAACATCCAACAAAGTAGGGGATAAGACCCTGGTGTCCAACACCATCAAAACAAGGGTAGTCAACTACAAATCTCAAAAAGTAATAACATCAAGAGTTTAGACTACAACTAGCTATCTATGCTAATCTAGTCTAACTCGTACTCTCTCAAGAACGGGGTCCACCTGAAAGGGGTTAACAAACAACAAGTAGAAAACAAACCCGTTAGCACGAAGCTAAGTATAACGCCACTCAACCTTGTAAAGTACTACAGTATATACTTTTGGAAAACAGTTTTCTCATACTTAGATCAAGTATTCTCAAACACTTAAGAAACATATAAACATGCTCATCAGGGTTTCTATATGCTTGCAACCTAATTATTCAAATAGGCATGCTTTCACAAATATTTAACTTATCAACAAACTCAATAAGCGATCTTGTGCTATCCTAATAATCTCAAATCGATCTCATGCTATCATATACTCATCATGCAATCTCATGCAATCATATAATCTATAAGCAATCTCATGCTATCATATACTCAATATACAATCTCGTGCAATTATATAATCTATAAGCAATCTCATGCTCAATATGCAATCTCGTGCAATCATATAATCTATAAGCAATCTCATGCTCAATATGCAATCGCGTGCAATCATATAATCTATAAGCAATCTCATGCTCAATATGCAATCTCGTGCAATCATATAATCTATAAGCAATCTCATGTTATCATCTTGATCATGCAATAAAATGAACATGATGCTTTAGTATAAGTATAGATAGATATACATATACACTCATTTGTAAAAAAAATATTTTTCTGTGGAGGTTTCTTAGAGCCACAGTGACTCGCTTTGCTCTTCTTTTCTAGAGTCTCAATGACTCGCTTTCTTTAGAGCCGTAATGACTCGCTTTCTTTAGAGTCGCAATGACTCGCTTTCTTTATACTCGTGGGCGATGTAGGACTTCACCATGGTGTGAATGAACCTATTGGGCTCAGCATCTAGCGGGCCAATTTCTCATCTCGCCCACAGATGCACTCTATTGGGTTCTTTTCTCAAACTCTGTGGAATTAGGTATCGAACTATCAGTGTGCACACCCCCTGATCAGGATTCCAAGCCTGGCGGGCAGTTTCCAACCTAGTAACTCAGGAATATCGACCTCGTTACTTCATATCGGATCACAATGTCCGTTTCTTTCTCTTTTCTTCCGAAAGGACATAGTCCTAACGGTCCTACAAAACAAGGTTTTCCTCACTTTAGATAAATATAGATATAACCCATGCAATGCCGCAATCTTATGCAACAACTTTATTTATGCAATCTTATGCACATTATAGCTTCTCATCAACTTCGCTTTTCTCATAAATTGGAAATCAAGTATAATGTCATTTCTCAATGCAACTAGATAGTGATTTTTCCAGAATAGATATAAGTTTGGAAAATAGTATTTAGTCTCACTTTGGCCACTTATGAATTTTAAACATGGTATGCTCAATTATGCACTTAACTTTAGGACATGCCTCAATTTCAATTCTCTGAGAATTCTCAACAATTTCTTAAACATGCTTGTAATTCATAATTAACAAATCTTCTTAGCAAACTCTTAGCAAGTAGTCAACATGCACTTGAATTCAAAATACTCAACTTATACTCATATACTGCAAGTATAGCATTCAAGGAATATATGCTCTGTATGCTTCTACTCATGTGATACTCTTGGCAAAATTCTCAACTAGGCATAATAGACATTTAGGCATGCTTTTCTAGCAAAACTTAACAAATATTGATCATCTTTCATTATCTAACAACCATATAATTGTCATGCTTCTTAAACAAATAGCCAAGAGCCAACACTTAACATTCTCATTTACTGTAAATGTTCTAGACAAAATCTGTAGAATTCATCTTCACAATTTCTATCACAAAAAAACTCATTTCTACTCAAAATTCAATGAAATCAAATTATAATCGTGCGTCATAACGACCCCGAGTGTCCGAGCCTCAAGAACCCGCGAGTCCTAGTCTGAAACGACACGTAGCTGAGCCACAAGGACCCGACCACTTCACAACTTCTGCCTGGCGGAGCTCTCGGCGGGGCTTGGGATGGCCCGCCTTCTAGCTCCGTCATTCCGCGGCTCAAGGCCACGGCCTTCACCAAGGGCCGCGCCTACTCACGGGGCTGGCCAACGGCTCCTGCTTAGAGCCGTTGGCTAGGCCCGTGAGACTATTTGGTGCACACTGCCTTGTGCACCAGATGATTTCTTTCACCAGCAAAAATTATTTCAGGCATTCTAACACTTCCAAAACCTCAAAAACTCATCATAGATCAACAATAGACCACTTAATAGCTCAAACACTTCAATAAACTAGCATTTCTACCACAAAAATAGACTTCACAGAGTCTAAAATAGCTTTGGGAGTCCATGGGGTTATACCTTTGTAGATTCCTCCTTTGAGCTGGGATTCCACCTTCTTCCTGATTGCTGTAATTTGGGGCAAACAAATAATACCCGGAGTATTCGGGTTGTCGAACCACAGAGAGGTGGTGTACTAATCACTAGCTACTAGGTTACTCGTATGAAACTAGTCCGAACAAAACTTGAAGGTTGATTAATTGCATAAAATAACAAGCAGAATAAAATAAGTAGCAAGGTTTTGTAGACAATAGAGCAAAATAGGATTCTTGGGATCACAATGTTTAATCACCTAGTGCCAATTAACGTTTGTAATATTTGGTTTGGAATTAAGATTTGTATGGGAATGCAAAGTGGAATCGAATTACTCCCGTAATCTCTATTCCTAGTGAATTTCCACTCCCATGGCTTAAACACCCAATAAGATCAAAGATCAGCATTCAATTATTCCTAATTACTACCATCTCCCGATGAGCAATAATCTAGAATAAACTTCCCCTAATAAGTTCCCCTTTCCCAAGGACCAACCATTAGGTGCAATCGTGTGTGCCCTAATTTATGCCCCAACTCCCATTGGTGACACAAACATGACTGTGAAGCTAGTAATTTAGGCCTTTAACTACCAACAACAACTGATTAAAACAAGATTGCAACACAAATCATAAAACCAAACATAAATATATTAAGAAATTAACGAACTAGGCACATAGGTTCATAAACGAATTCACCCAAAAATTCCTAAAGAATTTAGCCGAGCATGGCTAAATTATACATAGCAAATATGAATAAAGGATTACAAATCATCAGAAGAGTACAAGAATTAACCAAGCGATTCTCCCAAATCTCCCTGGCTTCCTCCTTGCTTCCAAAGACGACTTGAGCCTCTTGATTTCTCTCTTTCTTGTCTACAAAGAACTCTAAAAATCTCTCGGTGTGTTTTTTTAGGGTTGAGGAAGGAGGGATTTTATAGTAGGTATAAAGTTGAGACGAAATAGGAATCTGGTACAAAATTGGACTCAAATATCTCGTGACTTCGTGCTGCGCCCGACGCGTCGAGCCAATTCTCCACGTGTCGAGACCTGCTGCGCCCGACGCGTCGAGCCAATTCTCCACGCGTCGAGACCTGCTGGTCTAGATCATAAACCTTTCTGGAAATTCTCGACGCGTCGAGTCCTCTGGGTCCCGAACTTGTCCAAAATTGCTCCAAACTCATCCTTGAACTTCCCTTGCTCATAGAATTGACCTACAATGGTTCAAAAACACTAACAAACACCGTAAAACATTCAAAACAAGTGCGAACCATAATTAAATGATAATAGCAAGGAAAACATGTATTAAATAAGCAAAATGAAAGAGCTTAATTACTGTGATGATTCAAAATAACCATAAAAACAAGAATAGATGTGCTAACATCACCCCCTCACACTTAAGCTTTTGCTTGTCCTCAAGCAAAACTAAGGAATAAAATCACAAGTCAAAACATACAAATTACTCATGCTCTCTCTTGCACAACCTTTCAAACCACCAACCAACTTGCTACAAAACAACAAGCTTCAAGAATCAAATTAGTTTGGCACATAAGAGACCCATTTCCAAGCC